TCTTTATTTGATTTTGAAGCCTGAAGTATTTAAAACCGAAATAAATAAAAAAACTGTTTTGGGAGTGAAAGTTATGAGTTATACTTCTTCTCTTGTTTTTGCGTTTATCAGTAACATTGCGTTTAATCCAATAATGAGTTTAAGTCTGATATCGGCGGAATTGATTCACTCATACACTCGGATGCACTTCGCATACAAAAAAGAAAAGGCAAAAAAACTCCAGAAAGCCGAGATAAAAATAAGAAAATAAAAAATCAGCGGAGAATAATTTGGACAAACTCGGTTTCAGTAGCAATATTTAAAATTTTATTCAAAACATGGACGCCTTGCTAACTACTTAATTTAAAACGTACTCATTCTAAAAGGAAATAGCCGTAAAATTAGGTTGTGCTCATAGCTTGATCAGATTGTTAGCTAAAAACAGAGCAAACAACATAAACAAGAAAACGAAAACTTTGAAGTGAATAATTTTGGAAGAAAAATCAAAAATATACAAAAACTGCCTTTTTTGATGACACAATTAATTTTTATAATCAAAATATTTTTTTTGGAAAAAATATTCTCTACAAACCTTGTGCTTTTAGGTCGATAATGTAGACGGCGATCAATTTGTCAAACAAAGATATTATAATTTTTTTGATGAGGCCAGATAAGTTCTTTTTTTGTTTTGAAATATTTCGATTAATTTTTGTCGAAGAAACTAAGCTGAGATTTTGAGCCGCTTAAATTTATAAAATTCAAACAAACTGTTGCAATGAACAACAAATTTACAAACAAACAAAAAATTTATGATAGCATAATTTAAAAGTTATTCTAGATGTTCTGGACAGCAATTTGTTTGATGGTTTTTCATCTGTCAGTTTTTTGCAACTCAATCAAGGAATTTTCAAATCAAGAAAGCTTTTGGTAATTGCGGTTTTGGACAGAGCAAAAAGTTTTGCAATGGGAGAATTTTTTTGGTGATAATAATGAATTAAGTGTTTTTTTTTCACAAATACAAAAAATACCAGGTTTTACAATACATTTTTAAAAATGATTATGAGAAACATAAAATTAACTGATTCACAATCAAATTTATGTTTTGAGTGATTGGTATCAATGTGCCAACTTGATGCGATTATTTTGCTTTTAATACTATTTAAAAATATTTTTTTTTCTAAAACTAAATTGAGTACTTTATATTATATGTTATTTTTAGTGTGTGAATAATGCATCGTTTGACTACGTGGGCGCTGAGATTATTTTCCAGAGGCGGAATCAATACGACGTTTCTTTCGATCGGTTATTTGAAGAATATGAAACAGGTTTTGGAGATTTCTGTGGCACGGGAGATTTGTGGCTGGGATTGAAAAAGTTACACGAATTGACCAAAGAGGGAAAATGGCATCTTCGATTGTCGATGCGCACCGTCTCGAACTATTTATTGCTCTGGTGCGAGTATGCAGGTACAGTCTGTGTAATTTTAAAAATGTTTGAATAGCAAAATGAGGAACATTAAAAAAAAACGAATCCTGGTCAAGGTCTGCGGCTCAATTGCAGATTGTCAAAGACTAAAAAGTTTCTAGATAACCAAAAGTAATTGGACATTTTTGAAAAGAAAAAGTAAATATTTCTACACTTGTCAAGGTTTGCGACACATTTTCAGATTTTTCTAGATAATTCCGCGACCAAAAACTCACAGTTTGGACCCGGTGTTAAAATTGCGGACAAAAACGAGAAAAATTGCAATAATTTTAATTTCAGTTCCAAAGTAATCTTAAGTTGTTTGCGATATTGTCCAGAAATTAGTCGCGATATAGTCTGAGATTGAATCTCGATTTTTTAGAAAAGATTTGCGGCAATAACCAAATTAGTTGCCAAGTCTGAATGCAAAAGTACGACATTCTGAACAGAATTTTATGACATAAAAGCTATCTAATATATCAAACAAAAGCCCGAAAAATGATTTTTTTTAGGTCAAACTAGTCGGTAATTAGGACGTGCTGCCTCAATTAGTCAGGTTTGAAGTTCAAAAGTAAACCAAAAAAGACAACCCTTAAAAGGAATATCCCTGAGAAGCTAACTTTTATTATGTAAAAAATACTTATAATACGTGTTACTTAGTCGTACAGCTACAGCATTAAAGAGAAATGGCATGCAGAAATTTATCCCGTTTATTAGAAAAAATGTTTGTCAGGGGTCACGGTCTTTCCTTCCGCAATTTATGGTCCAAAAATTATCAGAGAGTATGTCATTGTAACTTGCCGTGCTTGTTAAATCTGAAAAACAGTTATTGGTGCTGCAAAATCGAAGGTGAAGCTCTTCGAGAACACAGATTGCTAGCAAGGTTTGGGTCACGAAAAGACATACACAAGTTTCGCGGTTGTTCCATGTTTTCTTAGCTCGCGCTAACGTGCAATGCGCTAAAGGTCACTTTTAGGTCACTTCTGTTACGTTGGTAGTGGTTCCTTTTAGTTGGGTGGCACAGGCCGGTCTTGTTTAATTTTAGCTTGCGGACTCTTTCTTTTGGGTCGAGCTGGTAGCGGACGCATTTGGTCAGTGAGTTATGTTGTATCGTGTTCCAGATTCTACGGGTTCGGTTCCTTCCTGAAGGGGAAAAATGAGGCCCCCACATGAAGCAAACTCCTAGGAATTGGGTCCTTAATTTCTTGAAGAACCCCTGACCTAGGTTTTCATGAATGAACGTAACTTCCTATCCCTATCTAAGAAGATCCCTTTCTTAGAATCTTGTTAGGTTAACAACCGGGTCCCGGTACATAACTCCTGTTTCCCCACTTGTGGTCCCCTTTTCTCTTAGATTAAAACCTTTTCGTAATTAAATTCAATCGTTTTAGCTCCTGACCTTTCCTTTTGTCCGTATTTCATAGCAAAATTAAGACTTGCTTTCTTTCGTTTTGTGAAACAGTTGTCATGCAAACAAAAATTTGTTATTGAAACTGAACCAAAGATTTTCACATGTATTTGAAATTAATTATGTTTAAATAGTGATTAAGCCAAACACAAACATTTTCTCGTTTTCTATCACTGATAAACTGTTTGAAATCAAGACAGGTCTTAACAGAATTTTCGATAAGAAGAACAGTAAAAAATCATTTCGAATTATTTGCTGAACATTTTTATTTTTTTGTTTTCGTTTTCTTTGAGCGATTGTTTTTTGTCTTCTGGTGTAAAATGGGTCCCTGAAAGTTTGCTACCATTTTGCTGTAATTCTCCTTGCACAATCCGTTTTATCCTTTGGCGCTGAACTTCTGTCTGCCACCTATGCCGAAGCATAACTTTTCTTTCTTTTTTACAAGGCAAGGTAAACGTAACCTAAAGTAAACCCAAAACGAAAAATTTCAGAATTTCAGTCTACCCCGAGCAAAATTTTCCAATTAATTTTTAGCAAATAGAATACGACTCATTTAGATAACTCAAAACTTGGGCAAGAGAATTGTCATGTTTTGGGCAACATTGTATAAATTTGCCTAAATCAGTTTTGTGCCCGTAGTTGATTGTAATGAAGAAAGGGGGGAAGGAGGATGGTAGTGGTGGTTGGATTTTGGGGTGGAAGGGGGTTTAAATGTGAGTTTCAATCACCCTTTAGGAAAACCGAATGCAGTTTTGACACTAGGGCTATAAATTCTCTGATCGGCTGGGCACCAGTCTCCTTTTTCAAATTGTAACTCAAATTTCCAACTTGTATCGTCGATAAAGAAATGGTCGCTATTCATATTTGCAAAACTGAAATTGGCTTTCACTCTCGCTAGATTGCGGTAAAAACATCAGCTTTTTGCGCACAGACAAGAATATTCGTTTACTATGCAAGTAACAGAGATTGCTCCGACCAGTCTTGTAATTGTTTTTCCTATTAGTGTCGTTTGTTTTTACCTTGGTGTGATAAAGGAATCTGAGCGAAAAGAATGATAGGTAGTAGTCATTTTTAATAGTCATTGTAAAATATGCAAATTAGAACATTTTTGCAGACCAATAACTAGAAAAACAAAAAATCAAACAAAACTTGATTTATGTGAAAATAATTTTTTTTCAGAAATTTTCTTTAAGATGAAGCTAAAAACTCCAAAAGTAACTTAATTTGAGCAAAAGGTTTTTTAGTCTTAAAATAAGTATAAAAAAGCTAAATTAGGTCTGCTCACAAGATCAAATTTTGATGAAAAATCAAAGAAATCAAACCTGTTTTTTTTGACACCAGGGACACGTTTGTAAAATTAATTGACGTTTTGTGGATCACGACTGAAAGAGTTTTAACTACAACTGGGTTTCATGACTGAATCACAGCTGAAAAATCTGAGAATTATTTGTATTGTTGTCGGAGTACAGCACTTGCTAATATAGATTTGGCTTCACTTACCAATTTTTAACAATTTCGGAATTAACAGCCAGTAAGTAAAAGCTATCTTGGAAACAATCACCACTGTTTTTCGTAGGCGTTTGTGGAGGTCAAGAAAGAGTGCTGATAGAGTTTTCTGAGTTGATTTTTTGTCATTCTCAGCTCTTCGTACATTTTTAGGGTAAGGTAAGGCAGAACATAACCTTCTTAGGGTGCAGGGTCTGAAGAAGCTTGGGCAATTTTGACAGTTTGTTGATTCCAAGTATTCAAACAAGTTGACTTGCTTCTTGCTCATTGTACCAATGTCCACTACTTCACGAGAGGTGGCAAGAGGATAATCAGCGAAGAACTCATGAAAATCTTCGGCTATGCTTAATTTGATTTCAACTAGAAAACCCTTATCGGAGCTTTAGCCAGTGAGCAGTATGTTTTTCAAACGATTATAAAATTGTTTTTAAATGGCATAATGCAGTGTTTTGTTATGTCCCGTGCAAAATATTCGTATAATTTTGAAGGATGTAGCTGGATGGCTCCGACTGTGAATATTGTCGCGGTACTTTTTGTTGGCCTGTAAATATGAAGTGAATAAACCGACGACATGCTTCCTCGTATAATTTGCTGCAGAAGGCCCAATGGTTCACTACCCGTCAAAAAAATCAGGTCGGAGTTACATACTTTCAAAACAGTCTCCCTGGAAAAGTATCGTGACGTGAAGTAAAGTCGCTACCCAGCACATAAAAATGATAGCAAACTTCACGAATATGTTCAAAACGGAAGCAAGCAAAAGCACAACTGTATGCAAATACAAGTCGTGGTCTTGCTCAAAAGAACCATTTTTCATTTCAGGGGAAATTTTAGGGCATGATTGCGCTTGCTTGTGATAGTAATGACATTGCCTCATGTTAGATTGTTTATCGACGCTTTGGTCGCGGAGGAAGTAAACTTTCTTGGAATTATTTGAACGAGGTGAAGCTTAAGAAGAATTATAATCTGTAATTCATAATGTGACAATTTATGGTTTACCATTTGAGCATAGTTTGTTGATTTTTGATTGAGCTTAGACTTGTTACAAGCCCAGCCAGTAGACTTGATTGTATAGTGGCAATGATCAAGAGTATTTTATGACTGTTGGAGATATCGTTCTCCCATATCCAAATAAAATCTGGCTTTTTTCTTTCTAGGTCGGTTTTTCAAATTATTGCGCGGTAGGTTCTTGCGGATTAGTTTGCGGCTTTTATACTGGCAAAGCATTGGTTCAAGTCAATCTAAATTAAACTGATACGTTCAAAAATATGTTAAGTTACTAGACTTTCCCGACATGGAAATTGTGACGACGTCATCTTAGTCTCTGGAGCACAACTTTTTATGTCTTCTGAGGGCGTCTAAGAAGCACATGTGTGGCAAATATTTAATTGGAACTGATTCACTTTGTGCGACATGTACTCCTGCCACAAGTTTTGCTGGTCACTTTCGACACCTAGTGACACTTTGATCATCTGTCATCAGCATTAAGTCCAATTCAGATTAAAAATGCCCGCATTTAGCCATCTTTAAACCCGAAAATATAGTTAATGGTTGTATGTAGTTTTGATGTGGAAAAGAAGGGTATTTGAACAACTGAGGCTTTTTAATGAGGAGGTTTCGAAATTTGCAAAAATCAAGCAGAAAATTTTTGCATACCAAATGTCGTTAATTTGTCATTTGTTCAGTCTTTCAAATCTGTCCATTTCCGTCAGACCCGTTGACACTTTGTATTTCCCATGCGATTTCAAGATTTATTTTTGTTTGAGGTTTTAGGCTGAATTTTCATTTTTCGCTAGCCACTGAGTAGATGTGGAGTAGAGAGCAGGCTCAATCACGCTGTGATATGCTTTAAAAACAGAACAGAACCAAAACGGACACCTTCTTGATTGTTGACATATGTGAACAGAGCAGAAGCAGGGTCGATCATCAAGTGGATCGAGGTACGATCCTGCTTGTTTTGATTGAAAAAATAGCGAAGCTGAACTCCAGTTTTTGAAGCTGAACTGGGTTTTCAATAAAATACATGTACTAATTCTTAGTTACTCCATCGAAGTAAACGGTCATTTTTTTGGCATTTAGGAGTAAGATAGT